CCCATGGTGGGTACAAATTTTCAAATCCATACCCGTCCACGCGGGTACATTTTCAAATCAATCCCCACACCCACTACCTACTAGCGACATACCTATATAGACCCGCCTGACAGCAAACTAATGGGATGTTAGAGTTGGTTCCCAGACAGTTCGTGATGGGGTAGCAGCGCATGCTTCAATTTGTCAGAGGAGTAGCTCTACGAATGTTATGGAGACATATTGCAGGGAGCATGTAGTCGCAGAGCTGGATTGTTGTGTTGCTTTTAATGTTAATGCTCATAGTGCGCCTAATATGGGTTTTGAGAGGTTAAAGAACATGAAAATTGCTGCTTTTGATGTTAATGCTTATAGTACGACTAATTTGTGTTTGGATGGGCAACATGGGCTAAAAAACATGGAAAGTGACGTGGTTAGTGGAATTATGGGTTTAATCAAATAGTCGAATATTTCCCTAATTAAAGACCAGATTAAAGACTAAATATCCTTAATATTTGGATAAATTATATGTTTTATATTATACAATATTAAAATTTATAAATTAGTCTATAAAATTACACCTAAATTCATAATGGTCCAAAATTTAATAGATATTTATCTGGGTGGGCGGATGTGAGGCAGGTGGATACGGGGCGGGTAGATGAGGGGCGGGTAATGTCTCAAACCCATTACCCGCCCACCACCCACGACGAGTACCACTTTATAAATCCACACCCGCCCACTACCCGCTAAAATTATACCCATCCCCGCTCCAATTGGAGCGAATGCGGTGCGGAATCCACGAAACTATACCCGTTTGCCATTCCTAGTGACAGGATTCTTGGAGAATTTCATTGATGACAAACTGAACACTTAAGTGCACTCCCACGTATCCATCATCTAAAAGAACCACCAGTTGATATTTATTTTGGGGTCTGAAGTCTTCACCTTCCAATCCAATCCAATCCAACCAAAAGAGACAACACATTTACATTTTATTATTGATATGCTAATTTACATATATTTGTTTTAGGCTTATATAATAAATTGATCTTTCTAACGGTATTAAAAAATCAAACGAGTCTTTAGTTTAAATTAAAAATTAAATAAGATTGAAATTTTTAAATAAAAACTCATTTGATCTTTGATTTTTCAAATAAAGGTTCATTTGATCTATATTCAAATAAGAGATCCACTTAATGTTTGGGTATAACTAGAGGGAGCAATTTGTATGTATAAGCCTTTGTTTTGTGTTATAATTGGAATTTACATTCATAATTAAAGAAGTCTTAAATATATATTTGATACCTAAGTTAGACATCTCCTATCAACTTGCTACCTAAAGAATTTTTACTCCCAATTTGGTACCCAAATTTTATTTTCTTTCATTGTTTTGATACTTTTACTAATGATATTAACTTTTGATGATGATATGATTATTAATTTAATAAAACTTAAATTTTATAAAAACAATTCAAATATTATATATATATATAATATGTTTAAATTAATAAAAAAGGGCAAGGTACACAAATGATCTCCCGACTATAGGATACTGCTTTGTTGAGTCTATTGAAAATAATTCCCGACTATAAGGCGTTGCTTTGTTGTGTCCCTCAACTATAAAAAGTTACAAAATGGTTATTCGACTGTTCATATATTCCAAACTTGTCTTTTTCCATTAAAAAATGGTGATAATATAAGATGGACGTTAACTTGCTCACTAGGATATGATAAAATTTGATCCCAAAATTGTTCAAGATGTATTTTGTAGACCGAGTCTCTATTTACATTATATTATCGAGCCAGTGCTTAAAACATTATGTCAACGAGCCAGTGCTCGAAAGCAACGACAGTGCCAGTAGACATCGTTAAAATATGATTTTATCATATCCGAGTTAACATGATAATGTCCAGCTCAAACGGTCTTTAATTTTTTAAAAGAAAATGACACGTTTAAAACATACAAATAGTTGAGTAACCATTTAAAACTTTTAATAATTGGATGACTCAACAAAACAATACCCTATAATTGAGGAATAATTGTATACTTTCCCTAAAAAATGAAAGAAGGTTGGAGTTATGAGTTGTTTTCTAGCCGACGCATGATAGGTCAATAGCACCTACCACACAACTCAGCTGAGACAATGAAATGAGCTACAGTTACACTGTGTGTCCCCAGCCCCAACTATAATATCTAAACCACCTCTTCTCCCTTCTCCTCCAGTTAAACTTAAACTCGCATGGCAGAGGTTGAAGATTCCGAGAAGCTTGAACCCAAAACCCCATCCGATTCCCCGCCGCCTGCTACCGACGTCGTCGAATAAAAAACCGCTATTCCACCACCGCCTCCTACCGAAGAAAAGGCTGTCTCCGTCCAAAGTATATCGATCCCTTTCCATTTCTTCCTTGTTTTTAATAATCTTGAGATTATTGATTTAGCTTTGGTTGTATATGGCAGAGGCAGAGGCAGAGAAGGAAAGCTCGGAGGGGTCTGTTGGTCGAGATGCTGTGCTCGCTAGAGTTACGACTGAGAAGCGAGTCTCACTAGTTAAAGCTTGGGAAGAGAGCGAGAAAAGCAAAGCTGAGAACAAGTATGAACATTTGTCTGAGTTAGCATTTTGACATTCTATTCTTACTATTTTTCAATCACTTTAATCTAAAATGTTTCGGTTAAAATCATCTCTATTAGATAAAAACCGTCGTATGACCAATATTCAAAACATGTTATTGATATGATATTTTTATACGTATTAAATTGTTAACATGTCACATGCCACAACACTTGATGATTTGGAAATGCAACTTCACCTAATATAAAGATGTAGTATATGTCATGTCTCTTAAGATGTTGATGTGGTATGTACCACATCACTTAAGACGATGATGTGATATGTACAATCACTTAAGATGATGACGTGATATATGACATGTCAACAATTAAACATATATATAAATGTTACAACAGTAACATGCGTTGATTGTTTATCAATTAACGATTTACATCCAACGTGGGTCATTTTCACCAAAAATTGAAACAATGAGGACTAAAATGTTTAAAAAAAATAAGGGTTAGAGTGACCATTCTAGTAAACATGGGAAACTAATTTTGACATACGTGAAATAAAAGATATAGATTTATGGGTAAACTACATGTTTAGTACCTAAATTATTACTTTTTATTTTATTTTGGTACCCAAATTTTATATTTTCAAAATTATACTTAACATTTAGTTTAAGTTTTCAATTTGGTACCCGTCATTAAAAAAATAACAAAACTATTGATGTGGAATTTTTTTTAAATGGTGACGTCGCATTACCTTATGGAAACACATCAACATCACCGTTAAGTTTTTAATGACGGGTAGCAAAATGAAACCTAAATTACACGTTAGATATGGTTTTGAAAAAAAATTAAAGTTTGGGTACCAAAATGCAATAAAAGTAATAATTTAGGTACTAAACTGGCAGTTTATCCTAGATTTAATACTGGTTTTGACTCAAGCTTATTGACATGGTTGAGCAGAGCTCAAAAGAAACTTTCATCTATAGCTGCATGGGAGAATAGCAAGAAAGCAGCTTTAGAAGCCGAGTTGAAAAAGATTGAGGTGTTATCACTTCAGTTCAGTTCGGTTTGGTTTTAAAAGAGAGAGTTGAGATATTTAGTGGTGAATATGCAGGAAAAGCTAGAGGGCAGAAGGCGGAGTGTGTGGAGAAGATGAAGAACAAGATAGCTTTAATCCACAAGTAAGCAGAAGAGAAGAAGGCACTGGTTGAAGCCAAGCGTGGGGAAGATGTTCTCAAGGCCGAAGAATTGGCAGCAAAGTACCGAGCCACCGGAACTACTTCCAAGACCATTGTTGGTTGCTTTTGAGCACTTCGTTTCCTTGTGAAGATTGCTTTTTATTGTGAATCATTTAGGCATTGCTCATTGTGCAGCGTGTGATCTGTATTTATTTGCGTCTGTATAGGGTACTGTTTAGTGAAGATTTACTTGTTGAATTTGTGAGAAACAAAGTGAAGATATAATGATGTTGAGCCCTTAAGATGTAGAATGAAGTGGTCAATCTTACAACATTATATATCTAATATACTAGTGGATGAAACAAATTAGGTTAAGAGAGTCACTCCTATAATGGGACTTTGCAAAACCTATCTAAATTATTAATCAATATATATATATATATATATTTAATTTAACATACACAGTTTATAATCCTTTAATTTTTCAATTTTGCATCCCTTAAATTTTTAATATAATTTACTAAATTCACACCCTTAACATAAAATCCAACATCTGTATTTGTAGATAATCCTCACTATGTTGCTTTACTTATTTATTAGGCTAAGAACTTGCTTACAATTCAAAAGGCCAAGAACTTGATCTGTCAATGACAATATATTTTTTTTGTTAGCTTGACCCAACCATCATTGCTCTTATATTAGCGGCGCCAAAGACATGTAGTAAACATGTTCATCTACTTAGGAAGCCAAGTAACACAAAAACCTCTCATTCAATACCACCAGGCTTAGCAGTTTTCTCAGGATGCAACTGTCAGGAGGTAAGCATTCGGTTGACTCTCGACGTCCACACCAAAGACCTGTGGTAATTATGTTGAACTGGAATCTAGAAAGCTGCTGCGGAATGGTCGATATCACAGTTCGATATCTCTGTTCAGCATTTACGCTTCTGTTTGTTAAAAGGAAGGACCAGAAGAGCAATACAGCTAAGTGACCATGGGAAACTTTCCACAGATTAAACTCATTTCAAATTTCACCTCTACCATACATAAATTGGTTGAAGAATGGATTAAGGGTAGGTTACCGCCTACCTGAACATTATCATACAGCTAAAACAACGGTACTGCAAGAAGTTTCAAATATTTTTGGTACTGCAAAGTACTCTTTCTCGGACAAATGGACAAGTAGAAGCTTCTTGCACTCTTGCGATAATATCGATAGTAGAGGTTGAGAAAGGATAGCAGAGCTCTTAAATAGCCGCATGTACACCCTACACTACCTTAGGTTTTGTTATGTGGGGAGGACAATATGGATACATTATGGTCTCAAAGTTGGGCCTCCACTAGATGGCCACGCACTCACCAATCTACAACAAGATAACAAGGAACTGAATTATGCATTAAAAGAAAATGTAAAAAAAAAAATAGATCACAGGAAAGGATGACTTGTCTACTCATCTTAGAAAGATATTGAAAAATCGGTGCCTGCCAGTCTGGTACAAGAGCAGGTGAATTAGCTCCAAGCTTGCTAGTCAGCTTCCTTTTTCAAACCCTCAATCTCTGAAGCCAAAACATAAGAGCAAAATTATTAAAAAGGACATAGAATCTTCAAAATAGCACAGCAGAAAAGATGTAAGGAGAAAGATAGACAAGATAGAACGAAAATAGTCAAAATTATGATGATACCATTCTCTAGGCTTCAGGCGTCCACCAGGAAGTTTGCAGAATGTGTTCCAAACTTGCAAAAGAAGAATGTGAGGATGATTATGTTCATGGACCTGCATACGAAGGTAGTGTAGGTAATTGAAGGACAAGTGTTAAAACGGTCATCTTAGAAGTCATATTATTGCAAACCACACATCGAAAACAATAATTGACAAGTTATAAACAAAGGAGAAAGCAGCAAAAGAACAATGCAGCAAACTCATAATGCCAAAGCCTTTATATATTTATCATAGTCGATCATATCGAAACAAACATATAAAATTCCAAAAAAAAAGGAGGCTCTCGAGCATTACTAGGATGTAAATGTAATTCCCCGTTCCTTGATATGTGATTACCTCTTTATACAGGTAAGACATAGTTGAAAATAGCTGCTGGGCTGAATACCGTGTCATATGTAAACACATATTCAAGCTAACTACTCTGTCATACAAAACTAGGGGTGAAAACTATCACCATACATTTTCAATAAAGAGAATAAAGCATAAACCTTACAAGGTTCCCTCTTGGTATTAAGATCTAATGGCAAAGCCTTTATATATTTACCATAGTCAATCATAATGAAACAAACATATAAATTCCAAAAAAAAAAGGAGGCTCTTGTGTGTTATTAGGATATAATTCCCCGTTCCTTGATACATGATTACCTCTTTATACAGGTAACACATAGTTGAAAATATCTGCTAGGCTGATTATCGTGTCATATGTAAACACATATACAAGCTAACTAACTACTCTGTCAGAGAAAACTAGGAGTGAAAACTATCATCATATATATTTCAATAAAGAGAATAAAGAATAAGACTTGCAAGGTTCCCTCTTAGTCATTAAGACCTAATGGCAAAGCAGAAGCATGGTTACTTACCAGAAAAATCGCATCAACACTTGTCCTCATACCCTCTTTCATATAATTGAAATTCACAATCAAAAGAAGCAATAACAAACTTGAGCTCATCTAAAGTACGGTTTCAATATGCTAATCTTAAAGTTTAAAGCAAATCTCTTTCTTGCCTTAGCTTAGGGTTTCGAAAACAAAACTTTCAGCAGCTCAAACTCCCCCCTCCCCCCACACCAAAAAAAAAAAGGAAAAAACCAGTGTTTTAATTTTTTTTTAAATAAAATCGACCATTTTACTTCGAGTAAAATCCAAAGAAACAAAATTAAATCTCAGTTCAAATGGTGTGTTGTTTTTACCAGCATTTTGCTTGTGGCCTAGACTTTCCTCTTGGTTCCCAATATGATTTAAGAAAGGTGAACCTTGGGTTTCGAACCTTAGATCACCAACTGAACTAATTCGAGCATTCCAAAATATGCAACTAGAAATTACTTAATTTTCTTAATTTCAAATTTTCATGTCTCAGAAACAGAATAGCACAAAGCAGCCCTAACAGTACAAAAAAAGAAGGATAAACCCAACTTTAAGCCGACATTCTCAGGTGGGGTTTATCTAGGGGTTTTCTCAAGGAATGAAATAAAGCAATTGATAAAATTACTTGACTTTCATGCGAGCAAGGCGATCCGTGACGGACGTGTCCTTCTCCATCTTCGGCTCTTTGGTACCGAAGGTATAGCTCGACAATCGGTACGTATTTACTACCTGTGAGATTACCATCTCTCCCTTTTCTATGCTTTTAAATCGTAATCTATCGAACCGTCGGAACTGTTTTTTTCCTCGGAGGGAATATCGTTTCTGGGACAAAAATTCAGAGACAAAGAAGATGGCAAAAGGAAATAAATTTCTTAATATTATTAAGGGTAAAGTACACAAATGGTACTCTGACTATAGCAATTTGTTGTGATGAGTCTTTCAACTATTAAAAATTATAAAATATTCTCTAAACTGTAGGACATTGCTTTGTTGAGTTTTCGAACTATTCAAAGAAACAAAATGATCACCTAAATATTCATATATTTTAAACTCGTCATTTTATATTAAAAAATTGGCGATTGTCTAGTTGGACGTTAACCTATTGACTGATATGATAAAATATGATCCCAAAATCGTTTGAGTTGTATTTTATGAATCAACTATTAGTTTACATTATGCTATTGAGCTAGTGTTTGAAACATTATATCGTCGAGCCAGTGTTTGAAAGCATTGATGGTGTCAGTAGATATCATTAAATATAATTTTGTCATATCACATTCAACAGGTTAATGTATAGCTCAAACAACCATTAATTTTTTAACGAAAAAGGACGAGTTTAGAACATATGAATAGTCGAGGATCATTTTGTAACTTTTAATAACAGAGACTCAACAAAACAACACCTATAGTCGAAGAACATTTTATAACTTTTAATGGTTATGGGATTCAACAAAGTAACACCCTATAATCGAGGGACCATTTCTATACTTTACCCTATTATTAGAAGATGACTTACAACGCAAGTCAATTAATTATTAGACGGTTAAAAATGAGTCAATTAATTAATTGTCACAAACAAATTATTGGACGGTTAAAAATGATTAATGATTTTCTTATGGGTAAAACATCACATGTAATTCCGTTATTAGCAAGATTATAAATGAGTCACCTAATTATTAGTAAAAATTTAAATAGGTCACTCAATTTCACAAAGTCATAAAAAAGTTATTCCATTAATCGAAAAAGAAAGCTCATTTTGAGTTTTAGGCTTCTCGAAGATTAGGGGTTTCATTAGATGATCCGAACGGTAGATAGGTTACTATTAGTGAGACGAGAACATATCCTGAAGTGAAGGCCATCTTATAGTAGACAATATAGATCGAGATTCAAAAAAATATAAAAGTTTTTTTAGTGATTTTATAGACTTTGAGAGATATTATTAAAAATTTAACGGTGATATTAAGATAAATTTTATGTTGAAATTTGTGATTTATTGGCCACCATATACTATGATTGAGGATAGTCAGCAGGTCCCTATTGCCATACAAAACCTCTTGCCACACAATGGTCCCTATTTTTAGGGTTCAGGATAGGCATACCTGATGATTCCTTCTTGCGTAAGCATGTCAAGGATTTGGGGCTACAAAGTAATTCAAAAATAAAATAAACTCTTTGTAAATATCTTATAAGATTTAAACTATCTTATCAATTTCTAAATCTTAAAGTTTACATTTTAGATACGATTATTATCTTGAAATTTATGTTTTAAACCTTATTAAGCACTCTAATGACATTTTTAAACTCAAACCTTTTAAAAATATCATTTTAGCCCTTAATCTTTTTTTTCCACTGATTTTACTCATAAATTTCTATTTTTCTATTAAATTGAACCAATGTCTCTGGGTCGTAGGAGCCAAATGTTGTCAAATCTGTGGGGTTCATGCCACTTTTGAAAAGGATAGTAGATACGTTTAATCACTTTCCCCTAATTTGCATTCCAGCAATTTTACAACAATTTATCACAGAAACTTATGAAATCTTGCTGGATTCATTACCACACATGCCGACTTAAACTTATCTTCACCTCACCGTCAAATCTCATATCAAACTCCACCCAAATTCTTGGTTCTGGTTGTGAATCTTTCCCATTCAATCCAAGGCATGATTGATTAATCCATTGTTTAGATTTAAGTGATTGTTGATATGAACGTTGTTTAACCCTTTTTCCACATATTCGAATTATTATATTTTCATACTCATAATTTAAGATATTTTAAATGTATGAATTCAAGGACTAGTCCATGTAGAAGGTAGTGGCATGTTTCTCTAGGTGACCCAGATTTGAGTAGTATCATCTATGAGGTGTATGTGAGTTTATAGAAACTAAAAATATATTTCTTTCGTCCTACTAAATATGTCTCGTTTGATTTTTTAAATTTGTCTCATTCAAAATATCCTAAAACAAACAGTAACACTTATATTTTCTTTTTTAATTTTATATGTCCCAATTTTTTACACTTATCAAAACAAATATGTCAAATCCATCAATCACCTTTCAGGGATAATTTTTTTTCATTTTTCTTAGTTAAATATATCTCCTAAAACTTTGTACATAGTTAATATATGACACAAATTATGGGAGGGAGAGAAAAAATAAATACTACTATGAGATTATATTAATATTAGAATGCTCAAAGTATATAAGTGACTGATTTTATTAACATGTATTGTCGAAAATAAGTCTAATGTTTGACTAAATGTTCATTTTGGCCCATATTTTATTTTTTAGAGTATTTTGGTCTCCGATATTTTATTTTAGGGTAAACAAATATAAACATTTGACTAAATATTCACTTAAATCCTTCCTTTTTTTGAAGTATTTTGGTCACAACGTATAATTTAGAGCAAAAAGACACTTGTTTTGGAGCATTAGGAGTTTGTTCACCGGTTAACAACACGTACACATTCCCTTTTACCAATGAAGCTATTTGATAATTTCACTTATAAAATTCATTTATATCTGAATCAGATTAGCCTATTAATAAATTTGGTATGTAGTTTCTAAAAGTAGATTAGATTACCATAAACAGGCTTAAGGTAGGTTTAAAAATGATTAGAATATGGGCATTAGTGTCATTTCCAAAACTGGGATCGATTATATATAGGGATTCAAACCCCGAATCCATCTCAGAATGTCCGGTTCTCGTAAGATTCCATTTACGGTCATTTCAGAGGATGAGAACTCATACTCCTTTTATTTTCTTTATGATATTGGCAATCATGGTAGCAACAATCCCTGTTTCGAGTTGTCGGCAACTCACCTGGTCGGCTACCGACCAGGAAACACAACACAAGTTAAGAAGAAGGCAGTTGTTTTCCTTTCCATTCGGTCACCGGTTTCCTGCAGGAAACGAAGGCACCTCGGATCGGCTTGTCCCCGGTGGACCAAACCCACTGCACAACTGAGGAAGACGAAGTATGTATCTGCTCGAAGCAGAATTTTTGTTTTTCTTTCCCAAAGTGATCCTTTTCTTTTAATAAGTTTGTGTATGGAAAAGAATGTTTCAATGTGCATTGATCTTTGCTTTAATTCATGTTAAGTAAACAACTTGAAGTTTCAAATACTGCTGATACATCCAGCATATGTTCTTCAGAACGATGCACATTCGGAAGTTGGTAAAAGATCCCATTGATAAAGAA